CCAAACGAGTCCCCGTAAGATAACGCTTGTATTACAATGAGTGTATTTCAAAACAAATGGTAATGAAATCTGTTTCTGAGGGTTTAGCAATTTAGTAGGTAATACATAAGGGATGTTTGTACAGGGACTCAGGCGTAAACAGACAAGCAGGGTGTGAAGATTAGGCTTTTAGCAAAGGGAAGCAGGCAGGGGGGGGGGGGGGGGGGGGGGGGGGTCGGGGTAAATAGAGGCTATTGGTACAGAGAAACAGGGTTAAATAGAGGCTGTTAGTACGGGAAGCAGGGGTAAATAGAGGCTATTAGTACAGGGAAGCAGGGGTAAATAGAGGCTATTGGTACAGAGAAGCAGGGTTAAATAGAGGCTGTTAGTATGGGAAGCAGGGGTAAATAGAGGCTATTAGTTCAGAGAAGCAGGGGTAACTAGAGGCTATTGGTACAGAGAAGCAGGGTTAAATAGAGGCTGTAAGTACGAGAAGCAGGGGTAAATAGAGGCTATAAGTACAGAGAAGCAGGGGTAAATAGAGGCTGTTAGTACAGGGAAGCAGGGGTAAATAGAGGCTATTGGTACAGGGAAGCAGTGGTAAATAGAGGCTATTAGTACAGAGAAGCAGGGTTAAATAGAGGCTATCAGTACAGAGAAGCAGTGGTAAATAGAGGCTATAGGTACAGAGAAGCAGGGGTTAAATAGAGGCTATTAGTACAGAGTGAGTGAGTGAGTGAATATGGTTTTACGCCGCTTTTAGCAATATTCCAGCAATATCACGGCGGGGGACACCAGAAATGGGCTTCACACATTGTACCCATGTCGAGAATCGAACCCGGGTCTTCGGCGTGACGAGCGAACGCTTTAACCACTAGGCTACCCGACCGCCCCCTATTAGTACAGAGAAGCAGGGGGTAAATAGAGGCTATTAGTACAGAGAAGCAGGGTTAAATAGAGGCTATTGGTACATGGAAGCAGGGTGAAATAGAGGCTATTGGTACAGGGAAGCAGGCTTAAATAGAGGCTATTAGTACAGAGAAGCAGGGGTAAATAGTGGCTATCGGTTCAGATAAGCAGGGGTAAATAGAGGCTATTGGTACAGGGAAGCAGGGTGAAATAGAGGCTATTAGTACAGAGAAGCAGGGGGTAAATAGAGGCTATTGGCCCAGAGAAGCAGGGGGTAAATATATGCTGCTAGTATAGGCAAGCAGGGGGTAAGTTTATGCTGCGAGTATAGGCAAGCAGGGGGTAAGTATATGCTGCGAGTATAGGCAAGCAGGGGTGAACATACGCTGCTAGTATAGGGAAGCAGGGGGGAAATATATGCTGCTAGTATAGGCAAGCAGGGGGTAAATAGGTGTCGTTATGCTGCTAGTATAGGTAAGCAGGGGGTAAATATATGCTGCTGGTATAGGCAAGCAGGGGGTAACTTTTTATGCTGCTAGTATAGACAGGCAGGGGTAAATATATGCTGCTAGTATTGACACCCATGGGATAAATACTAGTATATGCTGCTGGTATAGGCAAGCAGGGGGTAAGTATGTGACGTTATGCTGCTAGTATAGACAAGCAGGGGGTAAATATATGCTGCTGGTATAGGCAAGCAGGGGGTTAAATATGTGCTGCTACTATAGGCAAGCAAGAAGTAAATATATGCTGCTAGTATATGCAATCATGGGCGTAAATATGTGTTGATGGTGTAGGCAAGCAGGGGGTAAATATATGTTGTTACTATAGGAAGCAGGAGGTAAATGTATACGTCTAGTAAGCAAGCAGGGGGTAAATATACATGTATGCTGCTAGTATATACAACCGGGGATGGGGGATAAATATGTGCTGCTAGTATAGGTAAGCAGGGGTAAATAGCTGACGTTATGCTGCTAGTATAGGCATGCAGGGGTAAATATATGCTGCTTGTATAGGCATGCAGGGGGTAAATATATGCTGCTAGTATAGGCAAGCAGTGGGTAAGTATGTGCTGCTAATATAAGCAAGCGGGAGGTAAATATATGGTGTTACTATAGGCAAGCAGGACGTAAATATATGCTGCTAGCATATGCAATCATGGGGGTTAAATATGTGCTGCTAGTATAGGCAAGCAGGAAGTAAATATATGCTGCTAGTATATGCAATCATGGGCGTAAATATGTGTTGATGGTGTAGGCAAGCAGGGGGTAAATATATGTTGTTACTATAGGAAGCAGAAGGTAAATGTATACGTTTAGTAAAGGCAAGCAGGGGGTAAATATACATGTAGGCTGCTAGTATATACAATCGCGGGGGGGGGGGGGGGGGGGGGGGCGTAAATATGTGCTTCTAGTAAGCAAAGGGTAAATATATGATGTTACTATAGACAAGCAGGTGGTATGCTGTTTTTATAGGCACACAGGGGGGAAATATATGCTGCTAATGGCTATATGCTGGTATAGGCAGGCATGGGTAAATATATGCTGCTAATATAGGCAAGCAGGACGTAAAAATGTGCTGAATAGACTATGAGAAGGCTCCTAATCTCAGATTCCCTATCACAAATTGAATATTGATAGCTACATATCTAGTATATATACAGCTAGCGAAGGTACACGTGACCTGCTTGAGAAGTTAGTCAGTCATGCAGTGACAAGGCATAGAGCCTACATTCACCCTGGTGTATGTATGATACAAGGGGGTCCTGTTCGACAGCCTTAATGGGATACAGAAACACACACATCATGTTCTCCTGTGATGTTGGTAAGCATCTTATGTCATTCGTCGTCATATTGTTTGGTTTCACGTGTTGAATAGTATATACCGCGTGTCTGTATAGTAAAGCATAGCGCAATATACCTGTGGCCTAGATCTGCGGTTGTTCATGCAGTGACACCACAAAGCCTACAAGCCTATGCTATGTAGATTACAAAAGGGAGGTCACCTGATAGGTAGGCTCTCTGTGATATCGGAGACATGTGCATCACAGGGCGTAGCATTGTTTATGATGTTGGTGAGTTGCTTATGTTATTCGTCGTCATTTTTTCGGTTCATGGTTTTGATATGTCATCTCATACAGATTCGGAAGGAATGTCTATCGTAACTGGCGTCACTTGAACGCGTGACCGTCAACAGTAGAAGTTGTAGCAGGATCACTCGGGGTACATGGGGTTTTATGCGTCATTAGGTTTTATACCCCGAGCCAAGTTTTAATATGACATTGTAAAATATTTCAAATAAATTCAAAACTGATAGAAAACAGCTGCGATTGAGCTGAGGTGAGCTTGCGCTAGGTCACGTGACATCCATTTGCTCGCAAAAAGCATGCGTTTTTTTTGCTTTTAAGCGGGGTATAACGGAGTTATTCTGCCTCTCCTTTTCCATCTGCAAATTCACAGAGACAATTGGTGTCATTCAAAACAAGGGAATGAATTGCTATCAATTATATCACTGATGCGTCAAATTTGGAAATGCTCTCCACACGTCTGTCATAATACGTTTTGAAAGCTTTGCTGATGCCTTGATTGTTGTAGCCTTGATCAAACAAGGTTTGATAGTCGCGTGATGCCTTTTGATGTAATGAGCATCGTAGCACGCTCATGGATCACGATGAGAAACAATCAACCAAAATGACCTCTGATCCATTTCACCCATCTTCTGACAAGGATAATTTGCTGGGGACAGAGTCTAACTCGTGCCACCACGTGGTATAGCTGCTGTGTTCTTAGTGATTGACTGGGGCCTGTTGTGGGAGTGGTTCATAGGTTATAGTTCAATAGGTCAAGGCTACGAAGTCTGAGGAGAACATGGTGTGTGTTGTGCAGGAACGTGCTGATCACCAAACCGGTGTCTGCCAGATTATAGACGTGTTTATGAAACATGTCGATGTACAGTAAACTACGGTTATAACGAACACGCTTATAACGAACTGATGGATATAACGAATTCATTTTTTGGTCCCGGCAATTTGCTGTATTTATGCTGTATATATGCTTATAACGAACTACTGGCCGTCCCTTGAGTTTATTTTCGTATTTCGGGCGTCAGACCACCCTGTACAATATACACCACGATCAGGGCCCTGATAGATCGTCGCCGAACACAAGCGGCATATTAAAAACACGCTTGACATGTTTCAGTGTACGAGTCGGTTCACTTCTTCCGGGTAATACTATCATAACAACATGGAGCAGACACTGTTTACCCTCAACGCCCGTTACTGGTTGCTGGGAATGTTCAAACCGTGTACTGAAAATAGCAACCGTCGTAACGGATACGCCCTTATCTTGTTGCTGGGAATGTACACACCGTGTACTGAAGATAGCAACCGTCGTAAAGGATATGCCCTTATCTTGTTCGGGTTGTTTGTGACTTTTGGTATGGTTAAATATAGGAGCATACATGTTATGAATGAAGAAAATACACTATTCTAAAACACTGTCGAACATAGTATTTCGTCACATGCGTTTTCACAAGGCTGTATTTGTAACTTGAACATGTGTGGACAAACACGTTAGGTATGTTTTTTACTGTTTTTATGTAATCTAGATGCCAATTGGGTAATTTTAAATTTGATTTCTCCTTACCTAAGTTATATTTGCAAGGATATGGACAAACATGAGTGAACACTGCATGTGTATTAGAAGTAGACAAAAGAGGTTGGGCAGCGTGCATATGTTTGACAACCATAGGTGACTATTTATCACGTTGTGTGTAAACAGTACGGAAAACGAACCCCACTATACACCGAGTGTGTAAGTAAGTATGGTTTTACGCCACTTTTAGCAATATTCCAGCAATACCATGGTGGGGGCACCATTGTACCCATGTCGGGAATCGAACCCGGGTCTTCGACGTGACGAGCTAACGCTTTAACCACTAGGCTACCCGACCTACCCCTATACACAGAAGACAAACAAACATTACATAGGATACGAATAGGGAAATAGATCACAGCTAGTGTTAATAGTGTAAAAGTGTGGTTTGGCTTTAATAATGTATGGCATGATATACACCTACGTATCGCTCACCAAACAGGTCATCAGATGTAAACAGCTAACAGAAATGTATGTTTGATAGAGATTCTGTCAATGTTGCATCCTGGCGTCCAGGGAACAGTGTTACAGACATCGTGCCTATAATATGTGTTTGATCCAACACACCTACATCATGTGCCGACCCGTGAAGATCCGGGAAAGAATAGATCTTCAGCAACCCATACTTGCCGTAAAAGGCGACCAACGGCTTGGATAATAGGAAGGCTTGGAGCCATACACTATCCGGAGCACAGTGTAAGTCTAGCACTAGGCATTGTAACGGGTGCCATGTGTGCGTGAAGCTATGGCATTGTCTCTGGGTAACTGTTGTGCCAATTCGGCAATGACGCCGGGTGTTGTTGGCACTCTATACCCTCTACCAAAGCAAGCTCCACACCGATATGTCAGGAATACACTGTTGTGCCAATTCGATATGTCAGGAATACACAGAGTACTCCAGTGACGTAAGAAGAAGTCAGCGAATCTCGCCACACACTAAAGCAGTTCTTCAATGACGCCGGTTGCTGTTGGCATTCTATACCCTCTACCAAAGCAAGCTCCACGTCAGGAATACACTATTTTTAATTTTGAATGCAAGCTCTTTGGGTTAACGTCAGTTGTCAGTGTCATATGTGAATGGACGTGTACAATATTTAGTCCATACCAATTGTGTCACACAAAGCTGGGTGACGTCAAGCTTTCATATCACCTCACCTGTTCGAGGCATCAAACTGAGTACCCGTTTATTGGAAGTGTGAATGCTTTGCTCTAGTTGAACAGGAAGCTGGTGAAACTGTTTGCATTGTCTTCGTCGTTACAGAAGTAGGATCAATGGGAAGAATGCGGTAGTTATGTCAGCAATAGTGTGGCTTGGGGCAGTGTTGATGTAAATGCATTTATCTCTCCACCTCTGTATGTTTACTGACGACGGATGAAAGAAGCTCAGACGTTTTGTAGTACGCTCCGTTTGCTTTGGCTGCAGGGAATTGTTGATAACAGTTCTTTGAAAACAAGTGTAGTTGTTGTTTCCACCAGTGTAAATATACAGATATGTCAAATGTATTTATACTCCTTTCAAAATAAACCCCAGTACTTAATTTATCAAAGATTCACTAGATGAGTTCATGCATGATTTCTAAAGTTACTAACTATTAGAGACGATCTCATCTTCTTCCTGTTAAGATGGAATACATTAGAATAATTAAACACACTATTGCCTGAGATGTGTGACACAGATTAACACCGATCTCCATGCTGTGGTAAGTTTCTCACAGAAATTTAGGCATATGTGTGTTTGAGATTGTATGCTGCTTAATTAACCTTTACCTGGGATGTCCGCTGGTTACAGTGACGTCTCTGTAATATCCATATTCAGCATTCATTGCTTTTTAGCTGTTGTTGTCCTTATGGTAAAAAATAATGATCCTTTCATTTAAGGAGGAATCTGATCTGCCGTGTGTTGTCCGTTGTTTCTAGATCTAGACGCTGTATGCTCTATTGACAAACAACATTATTCAGTAGAGTACGGTTATAACAAACGCAAAGGGACAACTAATTTTAGTTCGTTATAACCGTAGTTCGTTATAAGCATATACACATAATAACTACAGCAAATAGTCGGGACGAAACCGTAAGTGCGTTATATCCGTCAGTTCGTTATAAGCGTGTTCGTTATAACCGTAGTTTACTGTATTTGACTGAACAGACAGCAACTGACTCCACTGACAAGAAAAATGTTGTCTTTACGATTTGAACAAGGTTGCTGCCAACGTTCTAGAGCAGTGTTCCCATTATCAGGGTTTACTGGAGCAGACCGCCTCGGGACATACACACGAACATGGAGGGCACGACGACCTCTCCACTAGAGGATAATGTATTATGTTTCAGTTATCAGCTTTTGTTATCAGTAGACTTGCAGAGAAACACAGGCAAACACATGAGGCAAAGGATCGTTGATGCTCTCGATGGCCTCGTGTGACGAGACCTGGCTGCTTCGTTGAGTGAGTGAGTGAGTTGGGTTTAACGCCGCTTTTAACAGTATTCCACTGATATGTCAGCTTAATGTGGGAGGAAAGCCCGAGGTGATGCAGGTCTCAGACGTTTACCACTTCAGTGAAACTCAAGAGCACGGGTATGGTGCTGACGAACCTAGAAACATAATCCGGGCGAACCAGGATTCGAACCCACAATTATAGGTTTCTTGCGTGCCCAACGCCACCCGTTGAGAGAAAACTGAGTTTTACTTTTCTCATGTTTGTTGTTTTCAGACGCATGATGCCGGAGAAGAATGCGGTAGTCTTGTCAGCAACAATGTGGCTTGGGGCAGTTCTCGTGTTAACATGTGAGTACATTAATCTCCTAAAATGTATATGAAGTATTCTTACATGCGATGCAACTGACGATAAATGTAACCACGTGTAATATATATATATATATATATGTTTTAATATAGTCGTCCTCATCGATGTATCAATGTCATGGAAGTTTTATTTTATGTAAAAGCTTAGATCATAGTTTAAGTGCAAAGCATACGTTGTATACTGGGAGGGGCATTGGAACGATTGCAATACTTGAAAACATTGAGAGTACATGATATTCCGGGATTCCATTGGACCAGATGTCATCCATACGCCCATAAGCGTTATTTATCACATGAATGCATTCTAATAGTGACACAGCTGTTGTAACTTCCATGTTACCAGCGGAACACCACACTTACCTCACGTGAATAACATGAGAGTCATGGCTCGTTTGTTCCTTTGTTCATAGAACCAAAGACATGGTTTGGTTTATTGTCATAGACTTGGGACCATCGCTCAGTGAAAACTGCCGGGCTACTTTACATGTTCCAGTTAGATATGTCATGGGGGGCACGGGGGGCCCAGTCGTCTAAGTCGCCGCGATTCGCTGTGCAGATTTGCGTCCCTTGGGCATGCCAGAAACCTAAGATTGTGGGTTCGAATCCAGGTTCGCCCCGATTATGTTTCTAGGTTTGTCAGCACAATACCCGTGCTCGTGGGTTTAACCGAAATGGTAAACGTCTGAGATCTGCATCACTTTTGGCTTTTCTCTCTCATTAAGCTAACACGCCGTGATATAACTGGAATACTGTTAAAAGCGGCGTTAAGCCAAAATCGCTCACTCACTATGTATGTCAGTCTACTTTACAGCCTACACTATTGATGAATCACATCCTGCTGAAGTTTCATATTCATGGTCACGTGTTGTTGTGAGTTGACTATTTCCGCATCAAGTGACAATGTTGATTTAATTGAGGACAAGTTATAGTTCACATGATTCAGGAAACGGAATCCATTGCTGTCTTGTTGTCATCCCACACACACATCGCGAGTCATGGGCAATGTGTAGTTTCAGTTTGGAGGAAAGCAGGTTAGAGTTTGAGTAGGTTAGAAATACGGATAATATAACCAGCCTGACTCGAGGGATTAAAATGAAGTGCGTGGGGATTACACACATCACATCGTCATTAACCTTATGTACCTGTGTGTATCCTGGCAAGTGATGGTTGACCTATAGCAGTAGAAACCTCCACAGAAGGCCACACTGGGTTGACCTATAGCAGTAGAAACCTCCACAGAAGGCCACACTGGGTTGACCTATAGCAGTAGAAACCTCCACAGAAGGCCACACTGGGTTGACCTATAGCAGTAGAAACCTCCACAGAAGGCCACACTGGGTGAACCTATAGCAGTAGAAACCTCCACAGAAGGCCACACTGGGTGAACCTATAGCAGTAGAAACCTCAACAGAAGGCCACACTGGGTTGACCTATAGCAGTAGAAACCTCCACAGAAGGCCACACTGGGTGAACCTTTGAACGCTGAATGAAAGTATGAGCGTTATTTAAAGTGCTGATTTAATAATTATTTCGCAAGTATTCATCAGACTTATCGTAGGAGTGTGCAGAAGTACAGGCATCAAACCCCGTATACAGTGTGTAGAAGTACTCGCCATATATGCGTGGATAGTGTGTAGAAGTACTCGCCTCATATGCGGGGATAATGTGTAGAAGTACTCGCCTTATATGCGGGGATAGTGTCAGGAAGTACTGGCCTCACACCTCGGGTACAGTGTGTACAAGTACTGGCCTTACATCTCGGGTACTGTGTGTAGAAGTACTGGCCTTACACCCTGTGTACAGTGTGTAGAAGTACCGGCCTTACACCCTGTGTACAGTGTGTAGAAGTACAAACCCTACATCTCGGGTACAGTGTGTACAAGTACTGGCCTTACATCTCGGGTACAGTGTGTAGAAGTACTGGCCTTACACCCTGTGTACAGTGTGTAGAAGTACTGGCCTTACACCCTGTGTACAGTGTGTAGAAGTACAAACCCTACATCTCGGGTACAGTGTGTACAAGTACTGGCCTTACATCTCGGGTACAGTGTGTAGAAGTACTGACCTTACATTTCGGGTACAGTGTGTAGAAGTACTCGCCTTACGTCTCGGGTACAGTGTGTAGAAGTACTGGCCTCACACCTCGGGCACAGTGTGTAGACGTACAAGCCTTACATCTCGGGTACTGTGTGTATAAGTACTGGCCTTACATATCGGGTACTGTGTGTAGAAGTACTGGCCTCACACCTCGGGCACAGTGTGTAGACGTACAAGCCTTACATCTCGGGTGATGTGTGTAGAAGTACTCGCCTCACATCTCGGGTACAGTGTGTAGAAGTACTGGCCTTACATCTCGGGTACTGTGTGTAGAAGTACTGGTCTCACGACTCGGGTACCGTGTGTAAAAGTACTGGCCTCATACCTCGGGTACAGTGTGTAGAAGTATTCGCCATACTTCTCGGGTACTGTATGTAGAAGTACTGGCCTTACATCTCGGGTACTTTATGTAGAAGTATTGGCCTTACATCTCGGGTACTGTGTGTAGAAGTACTGGCCTCACGCCTCGGGTACATTGTGTAGAAGTGCTCGCCTTACGTCTCGGGTACATTGTGTAGAAGTACTGGTCTCACGACTCGGGTACCGTGTGTAAAAGTACTGGCCTCATACCTCGGGTACAGTGTGTAGAAGTACTCGCCATACTTCTCGGGTACTGTATGTAGAAGAACTCGCCTTACATCTCGGGTACTGTATGTAGAAGTACTGGCCTCACGCCTCGGGTACTGTGTGTAGAAGTACTGGCCTCACATCTCGGGTATTGCGTGTAGGAGTACAGGCGTCACACCTCGGATACAGTGTGTAGGAGGACATACCTAACACCTCGGGGACAGTGTATAGGAGTACAGGCCTCACACCTCGTGTACAGTGTGTAGGAGTACAGGCCCCACACAACGGAACAGTGTGTAGGAGTACAGGCCTCACACCTCGGGTACAGTGTGTAGGAGTACAGGGCTCACACAACGGAACAGTGTGTAGGGTACAGGCCTCACACCTTGGTTTCAGTGTGTAGGGGTACAGGCTAACCACCCTGGGTACGGTGTGTTTGATTGCAGGCCTTACACCTAGGATACAGTGTGTAGGAGTACAGGGCTTACACCTCGAGTACAGTGTATAGGAGTACAGGGCTCACACAACGGAACAGTGTGTAGGAGTACATGCCTTACACCTCGGACACAGTGTGCATGAATACAGGCTAACCACCCTGGGTACGCTGTGTTGGACTGCAGGCCTTACACCTGGGATACAGTATGTAGGAGTACAGGTCTGACACCTCGGATACAGTGTATAGGAGTACAGGCCTCACACCTCGGGTACTGTGTGTAGGAGTACAGGCCTCACACCTCGGATACAGTGTATAGGAGTACAGGCCTCACACCTCGGATACAGTGTATAGGAGTACAGGCCTCACACCTCGGGTACTGTGTGTAGGAGTACAGGTCTGACACCTCGGATACAGTGTATAGGAGTACAGGCCTCACACCTCGGATACAGTGTGTAGGAGTACAGGCCTCACACCTCAGATACAGTGTGTGGGAGTACAGGCCTCACGACTCGGATACAGTGTGTAGGAGTACAGGCCTCACACCTCGGATACAGTGTGTAGGAGTACAGGGCTCACACAACGGAACAGTGTGTAGGAATACAGGCCTCACAAATCGGGTACTGTGTGTAGGAGTACAGGCGTCACACCCCGGTCACAGTGTGTAGGAGTACAGGCCTCACACCTCGGATACAGTGTGTAGGAGTACAGGCCTCACACCTGGGATACAGTGTGTGGGAGTACAGGCCTCACACCTCGGATACAGTGTGTAGGAGTACAGGCCTCACACCTCGGATACAGTGTGTAGGAGTACAGGGCTCACACAACGGATACAGTGTGTAGGAGTACAGGCCTCACACCTCGGATACAGTGTGTGGGAGTACAGGCCTCACACCTCGGATACAGTGTGTGGGAGTACAGGCCTCACACCTCGGATACAGTGTGTGGGAGTACAGGCCTCACACCTCGGGCACAGTGTGTAGGAGTACAGGCCTTACACCTCGGGTACAGTGTGTATGAGTACAGGCGTCACACCTCGGGTACAATGTGTTAGAGTACAGGCGTCACACCTCGGGTACATATCGGGTTTCACCGAAGTGGTAAACGTCTGAGACCCGCATCACTTCAGGCTTTCCTCCCATATTAAGCTGACACGCCGCTATATAACTGGAATACTGCTAAAAACGGCGTTAAACCCAACCCACTCACTCACTAGGATATGTAGGATTATCTGCCAAAATTAAACAAATGGTAAATCATTCTACTGTCATTCACGCGAGGTAATTCTGAAACTCTGCTGGTAATATGGAAGGCGTTACAACAACTGTAGCACGATGAAACCCTGCCTGACAAGTATTCTCCATGTTTCTCCCTGGTCATTTCCTTGTGTATTGTAATAGTTCACGATGTCCTTCACAGTATAAGGTTATGTTTTGCACTTAAACTACGATCTAAGTTTCATCATTCTCCTCCATGACATTGGTACATTGATTAGGACGTCTATATTTATAAACCCGTGAAGATCCGGGGAAAAATAGGTCTTCAGCAACCAATGTTTGCCGTAAGTGGCGGCAGACGAGATGGGGAGGTCAGGCTTGCTGTCTTGGATGATACATGTCATCGTATCTCACTTAAGGATCACTATGTCAATCACTGGATTGTCTGGTCCAGACTCGATTATTTACAGACCGCCATCAAAGCAGCAAAGAAACGAACAAACAAACGAACCTTATTTCATATATTTTACGAAGTATTTCTTAACAGTGAGTCGACTGTTTAAGATTAAAGTTCATTCTTCCCTATGTAATTTCAGCATCACAAGTGTATGGACAGACGAATTGTGTATGGGGAAGATGGGGAGATCAGTGCGAAAAAGCCTGCCCTGAACGTTGTATTGTCAATGAAGCCAGGAATCTCCAGCACTGCCACAAGTTGACTGGGAAGTGTTCTGAGGGATGCATGCGTGGGTGGCATGGCGATATGTGTGTTCTACCTTGTAGCAGCCACTGCGAAAAGAACACATGCAACCGGCAGAATGGTCTGTGTAGTTTTGGCTGTGATGGAACCTACAGAGGAGACTTCTGCAATATCACAACAGGTGGGGATGTCTACTGTGTCATTCGGGACTTGCATGTTCTTAAAAGTTAGCGAGTTTGGTTTGCTGTTGCTGTGAATATTATTAGAGTCATATCACGGCGTGTCAGCTTGATGTGGAGACGCCCATCACTTTGGAGAAAACTTTGAGTATGAGTATGGTACTGTCAAAACTAGAAATATACACCAGGGTTCAACTATCATAGTTTTCTGTGAAGCCTCCGGAATATGCCTTGGACGACAGGTCACCGGTACAATTATATGAATGTTTTCTTTTGATATTACAATTTGACAAGGAAATATGAATTAATTAATGAGCTGCCGGTCACAAATAAGTACAAAAGCAAATTTGACATTAGACTGGGGTTGGCATATGTTCAAAAAAGAACTTGAAAGCAATACCCCGGCTTTGATCACATTTACAACATGCTTCGATTAACATGCTGGATATGTAAAATATTGTTTCATAATAATAATTATAATAATATTTGATTGACCTTAGATTTGTAAGTTATTTTTGTTTTGTTTTCATAAGTAGTGGTTTCAACGCACTCAACGTCACCGACACCACGGGCATCTACACCTAGGCCTGGGAAATACACGGACCTAGTCGTGATTATTGTCCCCATCATCATCATCATCATAATCTGCCTTGTCACAGTCGTAGTGGTGGCATTTATAGTGTGAGTGTAGACCTGACAGAATAACGCATTCATAAATAACGGTGTGGCTATTCACGAGATACACTTTACCCAGATCTTCACGGTCGAAATTTCATTCCTATCCGTTGGTATTATACGAAACAATTGTTTTATTAATGAAGGGAATATTCCGTGTTCTTGATTTTTTACCAATATCACAGCTACGAGGAAAGATATTAATATTTAAGCACTTCATTCATCATTAAAATTGAATTTCAGCAGCTCTAATAATTGTGATTCTTTGCAGAAGAAAACGGAAAAAGAGAAGAAAAAACGGCGATGGCAGGTAATACTATGACCAATGATTATGCAAAGATATCACGTCACGAAGGCTAAAATATCTCATAAAATATCACCACTCAAGTTTAGTTTCTGATATAACATACATCGTGCATGGTATGCATCATCGGAATATGTAGCCGGGATAAGAGACCAGTATTCCCTGATATTATGTTTTACTTCACTGATTGTATGTGTAACACAAGAGTCATCCATCCATTGTAGTATCCATTGTAGTTGGGAACTTTGTTTTTGTTCACAGGTCCCCGGAAGACAGTAAGTACATTAAAGTAACTTGAATATTGCTTAACTGTACACTGGGCATATATGTTCACATATAATAGTTGCGGCCCTCAAGACAGTTATTGGTTAATGTCTTCAGCGTCAGCGCAAATTAAATCATAACCTTGATATTATATTGATGTCATAAGACACTCTAAGTTGATCTGAAACTTTAACAGTGGGTATGTATATTGGGACGAGATGCAACTTGTGTACTAGGGTTAGTTGGTAGCATCAAGCCAAACTTGCATACCATAGACTGATGCTATCAAAACATATTCTGAGCCATATGCAAACACGTTTTAGCAGATGTAGTTGTACTACACATCGGTATCATTTGATCTTTTCAAAGTTATGAACTGTATTCCTTGGCATTAATTTTCATCGCATTACTTTGTTTCAAGTGGGTGAATACAAGTGATAGTGCTACTTTTACGTGTACCCTGATACACTGTTTCATTTAGTTTATGGGTACTCTGATTCTTGTTGTGTCACATTGGTCATTATAAGTGGTAGTAGCACTTGTATGCGTTTGCTGATAATTTTGTTTCACATTGGTAAATCTAAGTGATAGCTCTGCTTTTTATATGTCCACTGATGCCTTTTGAGGTGAGGTGAACTGGGGATTGAACCTCGCGTTTGCACGTAAATTGTTGCACGTACATGTATGGAGCAATGTACATTCACGTGCGTTCTTACATGTACGTCCGTCTGCGAGTACAGTTTCGTGAGTCTGTTATAGTGCTGGCCAACTGAGATACAACGTTAAATTTTAACATGAATACCACGTTCAGGTGGAGTATACTGCCCCAAGCCCACCGTCCTTGTTTTGTGCCCTTAGTGTCTAGTGTCAGGCAGAGTAACGCAAGTACCAACGTATAACACAGTTTGGTTATGACTAGGACAGGGATCGTACCACCGACCTTCTGTTGGACCACCGACGCTTTACCATGTGGGAATGAATCACCATAATGAACTATTCAACATCAAATTGAACTTAATGACTACACCGGCTTTTGGGATACCCCTGGTGTATAACCTTGTGAATGCATTTTATCTGACCTGGGTATATAGTAGTTCTAATAATGTGCTCATATTTTTTTCCGGATAACATCTCGTATTCCACTACAGGTATATAGTGTATAGCCAATTGTTCAGTAAAGGTATATCTGATCTGGACATATTCTATGTTTTAGTTCCCTTAATGGAAAGAAGTAGAGCGGCCTTTGGCAGTGAGTATAAATCATACCATAGGTCACCTTGATATTAATCACTTGCTTGATAAAAGTAGCAGAAACTACAAAGTATAATACAAATAAGTTGGTTTTACACAGAACGTGTCTTGGCGTCTGTCAGTTTGCGGAATTCCATTACCTAGTATCACTAGTTCATACACAAACAATGATTGAATCAAGTAGACCAAAACTGTATCATAAGCAGAAACAATAAGATCGACAGACATAATTGTTCACGGAGATCAATCAACATTCCTCGAAAGTGACAAAACCAACAATGACACCCTACATACGTGTGTAGCGCTATATATACGTACATGGTCCTCTTTTTGCTTTAAGTGTATATTTTGACAAGGGCATTCTGTAGTCATACATCACCACATTCGTTTTTCTGAACTGTACATGAGTAGGTATGTCAGCTGTGGTTCTTATTTTTTTACCAGAATTGGGACATGGTCTGGATGAACAACGCATGGAGCCAGGTACATACAAACTGCTTTTCACACTGTAGCATGAATTATAACAATTGTATTGAACAACGTACATATATCCAAATCAAATGTGATATAAACTGTAATGACAATATAAATAACATTGATATACTAATCTCACTTACTTGATGTCTATTATTTACATTTCAATTGTCTTTACATAATCGTGTTTCTTCCTGTACAGATCCAATTGACCGAGAGATAAACAATACACGAACATTGTTTGTGGAAACTGAAAACTTTAAGAAAGTGAGAGAAATGTTGGAGACGTTCCATCATGTGACCATCAGTGGTGCTCCGGGTGAAGGTAAAACATCCATGGCCCTGATGCTGGGAGCTGAATACAGGAAGCAGGGGTATGAGCTGGTACTGGTTGATGATCTCGCACAAGTAAACTTGTCTGACTGGCAAGGCCATGATGTATGTGTGATATTTGATGACATATTTCAGAAGGCAGGGTCCCATATGGATGTGCCTCGTTTTAAACACCTTCTGTATGACCTCCATCTGTACCTAGCACAGTGCAAGGACAGGTCTGAGAGACGATATGAGAGTATGCAGCAGGAGTCGGGAGAGGAAGAAAGAAGAGACAATCAGTCAGACATGTACCTCATATTCACCACAGAAACCTCCGCACTAGAACATGCAATGTTAAAACTTGAAGGTCATCCAATTTGGTTTTTCAATAACTCTGCAAAAGCATTATTGTCTTACACACCGGAGGAGAAGAAAGAAATATGGATGAAACATAAACACCATTACAAATGCAAAGCAGAAGTGGATGAGATCGAACTTGGTGCATGTGATGAACAAACTGTTGGATTTCCTCTTATTTGCAAATTGTTCTCCAGTTATGCTGCCTTTCAAGAACAAGATGAAACGTTTTGGGAACATCCTGTATTCTATCTTAAACGGGAACTTGATACAGTGATTAATAGAAGGGATGACCACTCAGCTGCCCTAATCCTGGTGCTCCTGTGTGACGGGCAGCTGAACCTAAGTCAGCTGGAGACTGAATCTGACAACCCAGACCTGGATGTCCACATCAAGGCAGCTCTGTCCTTTGTGAAGACATCAACCAGACAAGATGTAGATGAGGCTGTCAGAAGTTTATGTGGTTCGCTTTTGACAGAAGGAAACTTAATAACATTTTCCCATTCAATGATTTATGATGTCTGTGCTTCTGTCTTGTTTAGTATTGATCCAGAATTTATCCGTAAACATTGCAGTATTAAGTTCCTCTTTGAGCATGTACAGGATCAGCAAGCAGACATGGCTGCCGTCGAAACACACCAGCTCATTATTCCTTTCTCAGGGGCCTACAGTGAAACCATTGTTGACAGAATGGCTGATTATCTTGCCAGTGGGGCTTTAAGTGAATACATCATGCATCCCATATATAAAAGGAAAGAAATAGCTGACAAATTATCTCAAATGATTAAAGATCCCACTTCTCTGTCTCATGATGATATGCACAACATCTTCCATTGTGTATGCTTCAATGGGAACAATAATATCCTGAAGCAACTTGTTCCTCACTGTGACATCAATAGACGTGGGTTGAATGGTTGGACGCCTGCTATGTTCGCAGTTGTCTCCGGACAGATGGAAAGTTTGAAACTCCTGGTGAAACACAAAGCTGATATAGAACTATGTGACAGCAACAACAACAGCCTATTACATTTGGCCATTGAGAATGGAACAACTGCCAGTGTAGAATATCTACTTAAAGAACATAAAATTGACATCAACACTCGAGGAATGCATGGCTGGACACCACTTGTGTGTGCAGTGTTTGCTGGGAAGAAGGATGTTTTGGATGTTCTTTTGAAACACAAAGCTGACAATAGATTAAGAGATACCAACATCAGGAATGCGATACATCTGGCATGTGAGTGGGGAGGAAATTCCATTGTGGGACATCTTCTGCCATTCACGGATGTGAATTCCCATGGAAAACATGGTCACACACCAATAATGTGTTCAGTATCATCTGGAAAGAAGAAAACATTCGACCTTCTTTTGACAAAGAATGCAGACATCAACCTGACTGATGATGACAACAACAGCATCCTTCATGTGGCTTGCCAGCCGGATAATACATCTATTTTAGAGTATCTACTTACACAGCTTGACATCAATAGGCCGGGAAAACATGGCTGGACACCAGTTATGAAGGCAGCTGTGAATGGCAGGAAGGATGTATTTGACCTGCTTGTGAAAGAGAAAGTGAATATTGAACTGACTGATGACAGTGGTAACAATCTCCTCCATCTTGCATGTCACAGCGGAAATGCCTCCATTGTGAAATACCTACTCCCACAGTTTAACATCAACAGTCGTGGAGGCAATGGCTGGACGCCAGTGATGTTTGCGGCTGTCAATGGAGACAGTGATGTGTTCCGCCTGCTTGTGTCAAATGGTGCTGATCTCTCCCTGGAAGATGACTACAACAACTCTGTATTTCATTTAGGATGTATCGGAGGAAACAGAACCATAGTGAAAGATCTACTGCCAAAAGCTGATAAGAACAGTCAGGGAAACCTTGGGAGAACAGGGGTTATGAAGTCTGCTTGGGCAGGCAATGCCGATGTTTTCACACTTCTTGTGGGAAAGAAAGCTGATCTCACAACAATTGATGATAACAATGATACCATACTTCACCTTGCCAGTCAGGGTGGGAATTGCTCAATTGTGAAATATCTGATAGGGGGAAAGTTTGAGATAAATTGTCGTGGAAAAGACGATTTGACAACTTTGATGTCTGCAGCCTGGTCTGGAAAGAAAGATGCGTTTGAACTTATTTCTTCAAGGGAAGCTTCCATGTCCCTTTTCAATGAATATCGTGACACAATCCTCCACTTGGCATGTGAAGGGGGAAATATATCCATTGTAGAATCACTTCTGTCAAAAGTAGATGTTAACACTCGGGGAAAGAATGGTCGGACTCCAGTCATGGTTGCAGCATTGGTTGGGAAGAAGGATGTGTTTGACTTTCTGGTTTCAAAGAAAGCTGATCTCACACTGCCTGATGACTACAGTAACACCATTCTTCATCTTGCATGCCGGGGTGGAAATACGTTCATCATAGAGCATCTCATACCACTGTTTGACATGAACAGACCTGGAGAAGATGGATTGACACCATTAATGATGGGAGCTCTCAGTAGGAAGAAGGAAGCTTATGATCTGATTACAAGTAATGGGGGTAATCAATCATTAACGGCCTCTGAAAATGATATTGTTCTTCATGCAGCCTGTCTTGGGGGTAATCTAGCCATTGTTAAGGAGGTGATTGACAGCTTTGACATCAACACCAGGGGAAGGAATGGCGAGATTCCTCTGATGCGAGCAGTCTGTGGAGGCCACATTGCTGTCTACAGATATTTGATGTCCCGTGGTGCTGACCATACTCTGGTGGACAATGACGGACACACTCTACTACATCTTGCATGTCATCACGGACAGCTTGCAATGTTGAAACATATCATAGCTGATTTTGATGTCAACTCAAAGGACAATATGGGCCTCACAACCGTCATGACGGCTGTACTGCACAGAAAAGCTGCAGTTGTCAAATACCTGACCAGTAGAGGAGCGGATCTGACTTCAGTTGACAACACGGGAGACGATGCCCTTACTCTCGCCCTGAAACTCGGTAACAGACAAATCATAAAACAACTGGACAGAAAACAAGTCAAACAAGTGGCACCGTGGAATGAGCTAATGAAGTCCCTGGTCAGGGGTGAAGTAGTATTCCTGAAGACCTACAGTCGAGGGAGTACTGACCTGGTTCAGACAGATCAGGATGGAGACAGTTTACTACATCTGGCCTGTCGAGGAGGGAACAGACTATGTGTGGAGTATCTGCTCCCATCCTATGACGTCAATGTCCGTGGTCGCCATGGCTGGACACCGGTGATGATGGCGGCTGTGTGTGGACATGCTGATGTCTTCCGGCTACTGGTGGATCATGAGGCAGATCTCTTCCTGGAATCACCCACAGGGGAAAATATGCTCACACTGGCGCGGCGTGGAAACAACAAAGAAATAATCACACAAATAGAGAAACATGATTAGAATGAAAGTATTCCATGAACATTAAATCTGAGCAAAGTATTGAATTCTTCATTTATATTGAACTTACATCTCCATATTTTTTTTACAATAACGAATGGAAAGGAGAGTGACAGACCCATGGCATAACGTCACAGCGACAAATCCGCCTGTGTTTCCTTGTTTGTTGGAAGCATGATACTCACATATGTGTTTATGTGAACAGCACACATTGATTGCTTTGCGATCAGGTGCTACACAATCGCGTTTGTCAACCGTAAATAATAATGGTTATGCAATGCCACGACTTGCGGAAAGTCAACGTTCATGCGCGGATGGTATTGGGTGTCAGGCCCTGTGGTCTCGTGGTAGAGCGTCCGCTCGGAGATCGGGAGGTGGGGGGTTCGATCCCCGGCCGCCCGCGTCATTCCAAAATATGTTAAAATAGTGTATTTGTTGTTACCCTGTCTGGCGCTCGGCATTAAGGGGCTAAAACAAGGACTGGTCGGTTCGGAGTCAGTATACTATGCCTGAGTAGGGTATTCAATTTAAACTGCAGCATGGTATCTCAGTGGGCCAGCACTATAAAATCGGACTAAGCAGCCACACACGATCATGCACGTCGCCATATAAGTGCAATTACCCTGAACGCGTCGTTAAACCCAATGTCACCGCACCTCACCACACATTTGGCACAACACCTTATTTCGCTCTATGTATGTCTTGAACTATTTGTATGCTGTTCAATTGGATCACTCATGTGCATGTAAATATGTCTTGGGGTAATGTACGGAGAGTGTGTGCAATTTGTTATGTTATACTTATTGTTGAAAGTCATTTTGAGATACACATGCGCTGTTTAACTACTAGAAACAAAGGCCACTCGCATTTTTCACAGTCCTATTGATTTCAAGATTTATAGTATTACTCGGATACCAATTGCTCTTAGATATTAGTTGAACCATTTTAAAATACCATGAAAATGCCTACCAAGTGAATGTTATTTGGGGAATGTTTTTCATTATTTGTGCATTTATAGAAGGAGAATATTCATAAATTGTATAACATATTGTAGCCTGGCTAGAAGCTCAATAAAATATTTTCTTTTAAACAGTTTTTAACTAATGTATTCTTGGTTCAGAACTATCGCAATGATTTGTGCAATACGTTGTGCAATGTGCTGCACAATGTGTTTTGCAATGTGTTGCGCAATGTGCTGTGCAATGTGTTGTGCAATGTGCTGCGCAATGAGTTGTGCAATGTGAGTGAGTGAGTGAGTTGAGTTTTAACGCCACTTTTAACATTATGCCAGTATATCGAGAATTATATCGAAACAGAAGGAATATTCATGCGATCTTGACAGAAAGGATAGAATTATGTCTTATCTTTAGAAAGGGTATAGCAAGCACGAAACAAGGGAAGGAAATACATGTACCCTACATGCTCATTCACCTGGACGAAATAACGAGTTGTCCCAAACCGGAATGCACGGGAAGGCTACATACACATTTATTAGACTGGTCTAACGACAACTACCAAGTAAGTATATACCATCCATGTTGCACGGGACGGCTACATACACATGTATCAGACTGGTCTAACGACAACTACCAAGTAAGTATATACCATCCATGTTGCACGGGACGGCTACATACACATTTATTACACTTGTCTAACGACAACTACCAAGTAAGTATATACCATCCATGTTGCACGGGACGGCTACATACACATGTATCAGACTTGTCTAACGACAACTACCCAGTAAGTATGTACCATCCATGTTGCACGGGACGGCTACATACACATGTATCAGACTGGCCTAACGACAACTTCCAAGTAAGCATGTACCATCCATGTTGCACGGGACGGCTACATACACATGTATCAGACTGGCCTAACGACAACTTCCAAGTAAGCATGTACCATCCATGTTGCACGGGACGGCTACATACACATGTATCAGACTGGCCTAACGACAACTTCCAAGTAAGTATGTACCATCCATGTTGCACGGGACGGCTACATACACATGTATCAGACTGGCCTAACGACAACTTCCAAGTAAGCATGTACCATCCATGTTGCACGGGACGGCTACATACACATGTATCAGACTGGCCTAACGACAACTACCAAGTAAGCATGTACCATCCATGTTGCACGGGACGGCTACATACACATGTATCAGACTGGCCTAACGACAACTTCCAAGTAAGCATGTACCATCCATGTTGCACGGGACGGCTACATACACATGTATCAGACTGGCCTAACGACAACTTCCAAGTAAGCATGTACCATCCATGTTGCACGGGACGGCTACATACACATGTATCAGACTGGCCTAACGACAACTTCCAAGTAAGTATGTACCATCCATGTTGCACGGGACGGCTACATACACATGTATCAGACTGGCCTAACGACAACTTCCAAGTAAGCATGTACCATCCATGTTGCACGGGACGGCTACATACACATGTATCAGACTGGCCTAACGACAACTACCAAGTAAGCATGTACCATCCATGTTGCACGGGACGGCTACATACACATGTATCAGACTGGCCTAACGACAACTTCCAAGTAAGTATGTACCATCCATGTTGCACGGGACGGCTACATACACATGTATCAGACTGGCCTAACGACAACTTCCAAGTAAGCATGTACCATCCATGTTGCACGGGACGGCTACATACACATGTATCAGACTGGCCTAACGACAACTTCCAAGTAAGCATGTACCATCCATGTTGCACGGGACGGCTACATACACATGTATCAGACTGGCCTAACGACAACTACCAAGTAAGCATGTACCATCCATGTTGCACGGGACGGCTACATACACATGTATCAGACTGGCCTAACGACAACAACCCAGTACGTATGTACCATCCATGTGACTTGACCTGCTCCTGTTATGTGTTGAACAACTCTCATTTGCTACTATTTTTTTAAGAACACGTTTTATATTAAGTCTATCAGTGGCATTGAAATTTGACACTCATAAGGAAGAGCAGTTATTGATAATCAATTTATTATGAGGAACACAGCGTTTCGGAGTATATACTTACTCCTTGATTAAATAAATAAATGCTATGCGTCAGACATATATATGTACCTGTAAGAGCAACGTAAGTATGGATTTATGAACGTTCAAGCCGGTCTAAACTGCCAAACAAAGTGTACATACCGTATTTGTTTACGAAATTAAACGAATTATTAGTAATTACATGACGTCAAGAGGGACATTGTGTTACAGGTGATTACCGATGTATGGCCTAGACATGAAGTCTTCCGAGAAGTACTATGTGCTGTACGCGGTGCTGGTTGTGGGTGCCCTCGCTTGTATCATCATGATAACACATTCAGGTCAATTGTCCACCAAGCATTATGCAAATTGCTGGAAAAAGCTTCACCAACACCCAACCATCCATAAGGAAAGTATGTATGACAAATCAGGCGACAGACGTAACTATACGTTCACTGATTGTTGGATGCCTACCAATCTCCATTCTGTGTTGGTCGTAAGGCGCTATCACCTGTATGACATTCTAATACGACGTGACATAAACGTTCCCTGTCAACAAACCTCGACTGATGGAGTGAGTGAGTGAGTTGGGTTGAACGCCGCTTTTAACATTATACCAGTTGTACCACAGCGTGTCAGCTTAATGTGTGTGTGTGTTGGGGGGGGGGGGGGGGGAGGGGGGGGGGAGCCCGAAGTGAAGCAGGTCTCAGACGTTTACCACTTCGGTGAAACCCACGAGCACGGGTATGGTGCTGACGAACCGAGAAACATAATCGGGGCCAACCGAGATTCGAACCCCCTCGACTGATGGAAAGCTAAGTATAAATCCAAATAGAGTACCTCCTCATAATCTTGTTTTGCATGTCGATGTCCGGGTATCTTTAGATTATTTTAGATTGGACATCGTTTGTTGTTGAAACACACATAATATTCCAGCTAGATAACGGTAGCCTGTAAATAATCGAGTCTTGACCGGACAGTCCAGGGATTAACAAAGCGAGTAAACGATGCCAACTGTCGAGTACGATCACATGTTTTTATACAAGTCACCGATTCTGACCACTGACCACTCGTCACCCATTATGAATAGCACAGGTTGCTGGACCCTTTTTCAAAACCAGGAATACCATGAGGGCCTTTTGTATAATTTCTCAGTAGTCCCTTAATTTTGACGTTTCTGTTATTTTTGACAGACATCGTTTACTCAGCAAGACGCCCTTGTTATGTGTCGACCACACAGAACGATTCGTTTATTGGGAAAACAATTCGTCAAACAGAAAACAGCCTTGGACCTCTACAAAGGAGAAGATATATGGTAACAGCAGGACATTCCGGGCGGTCAAGACAGACGTACCTCTAATTACATTCTTTATTATTTCCTGCACTCAATCAGCAAGTGACTAGGGGAGTTTGGTCTGGCTGGTTCACGCCAACTGTGACAACATTAGTTGTTTGATCAAGGGACTTTGTACACATGACATCAAACAATGCCACATGTAAGGCCATTTTATAAACTGAGGAGGAAATATGGCAGAACCACGCATCAGTACTGTCAACTTTTGCCCATTCCTCTTTTGTTCAAAACATTTGATTTTTTTCAAATTGTATCCAGTACGACCCAAAATGGCAAACTCCCTATTCCCTAATTCCCTACTAACCGACAAAACTTTTGAGAAAAAGAAACTACAACAGAACATTATAAAAAAGGGTCGATGAACAAGGCAATGCCAGATTTAAAATATGTTACCATTATGAGCTCAAACTATGGAATATACTTCTAAAAGGATAAGTTATAAAAAAATGAGGCCTAATACTATCTGAGGAAACAAAATATAAAATGCTCGACTTCATCGATAACGCGTCCATTTAAAACTTGGGTATGAGACATTGAGGTAGGAAGTAGTCATCCCCATGGGTACCATGTGTGCTCCCCTCCTTTCTAATCTGTTATTTTATACAATCAATCGGAATTCATTCTCGGATCGGCAAAATAAAAGAAAGGAAACCTGGGCAAGAAATTCAAATTCAAGGCCAGGTATATTGCTGACCTAGAACGGATCAATAATGGTTAAAAAACAATTCAACACCACTGATTTACCAATCTCAACTATAAACATAACGTCCAGTGACAGGGCATCATCTGTTTCAGATGTAGGTGATGTGATGTGAAATTGGGTTTAACGTCGCGTCCAAGATTATAACACTTATATTGCGATGTGCATGCACATGTTTGTGTGTGTGTGTGTGGCTGCGTGTATTAGTCCGGACTGAAGCCGATTTTTAGTGCTAGCTCACTGAAATGCCATGCCGCAGCTTAACGTGAATGCCCCACTCAGACACAGTAGGACCATTATTT